AACTAGATTTACTTATTAGCAGTTAATAAGTGGCTATGCGTTGTTGATGAGATCATATAAACGTTTAACTTGACTTACGTTCACTAGTTAACTTGTACACAAATAGTTTACTTAAAAATTGTTAAAGTAACGATAATATTATTTATAAGTACGTGTGTTTATATGTAATTTTCAAATTGGTATTATTTTTAAAAGCGAATCTAATTTTCAAATTACGTGAAAATTATACCAAGCGTTAAATAAGCTTTAAGGGAGAACGAAACAACAAATTGGGAATTTTGTTATTGTTTGTTTACACTAAGTTCCATATAAAGAATAAAAATTTTAGAAATTAAAATGAAATTCAAAACAAATTTAATTTTAAAATTTTAAATTTCTTAAACTTAAAAAATAAATCAGCAAACAACTTTGTGAATTTTATAAATGCGCATTTAACGATTTTATTAAAAGAACACTTTTCCCACTCTTATAGTTTACGCTAAAAATTAATTGACAAGTTAATTTCATTAAATGAGTTAATAACGAATATTAGTCACAATTCTTTGCTACATGTGAATAAAAGATGACACAAAATATGAGTATTAAAAAGTTATAAATGCCAATTAATATAGAAATTTACAAATATAAAGCACGTACACACAGGTTATTATTATTGTCATAAGAAATTACATTTTGTTGGTGGGTTAAAAATAACAAAGAAAAGCTTAAATGTGATAAACAATTATAGGTTATGTTATAATTATAGGTTAAAATGAATATCAAATAAAAAAAAGTTTAAGTTTTTTGACGTATTTAAATTTTAAATTACTTTATTTACTTGAATTGAGTTCAGATTCAAGTCACGATCTAATCGATATAAAACACAAATAGGTATAGTTTTTGAAGATTTTTAAAATGTGATAAAGAAGTTATATAGTTTCTTTGTTTTCTTCTAAATGATCATAATGAAATTTAATAATTAACATTATATTTTGAAGAAAATAAATTTGCGTGGTAACCTAATTAAAGAAAAGTGAAATTTGTTATATTGCGATACATCAAAGATAATTGTTAATTTTTTTGAACTTATAATTAAAGAAGTTTTTAAAAATATGAGCAATATACTTAGTTTTAACACATCTAACTCAATTGATAGAATTAGACATTATTTAATGTTGTAATATTCAAACATTGCTTTTTGCAATTCCAAAATCAATCTTGCTGTCAATGACCTTTGAATAATTTGTTAAAAGTTCATGTTCATATGTACCTAAAGTTCATGTATATACCTACCTAAAAAATTGTAAGTACATGTATGTACACGAACACATACATAAAATTAAATATTTGAAAAACAAAATAATTTGCAAAATGCAATTAATTGTAATTAAGCGCTTGTCCACATGCATATGTGTGTTTACACTTATTAGACCCAAATCGAGTAGAAAAACTGCAAATAATTTTACAAATTCATCGAATTTATGTTTTTGTTTTTCCACACATTTTAACATTTTATTTAACATCATTTATAATTAACAGTTATTTTTTATTATAATAACAATACGTACATAAATAACAGGTACAAAAAGTGTTGACGTTTTGTAACAAAACCTAAGTATATGTATTTTTCCAATATTGTATAAAATTTTATTGTCATTGTTGAATGTTTTTTAGCCCGTTTTCTTATTATAAGTTGTAATTCTAAAGATTAACACGAAAAAAAAGAAAACTAAAAGAAAAAAAAATTATACAAAAGAAAAAACATGAAAAATATTTTGTTTTTATTTTTCTCTCATGACCCAATACGGTACACATAAAAGTTGAAAACTGACACCTTTTAACAATTTAACCTCACCTATTTTGATAATGCAATACAAAATACTGAAAAGTACATAAAGCAAATTACATTCTTTAACGGATACGTATACATAAGATATTACGTTAATTGTTATTGTTGGGTTACGATGCGCGTAAATTTAAATTTATTTTGAAAATAAAAAAATTTAAATCATAAATCTATTGAAGGTGTTACTAGGTCATAACGCTTTTTTATATTACAAACTTGCGTAAGCATTAAATTATAACGGTGAAAATACTTCTTGTTAGAAAAAATTTTACTATTTTAGTATGTTTTCAACCAAATATTTTTATTAAAAACAAAAAATATGTTTACTGGTTTCAATTTGCTCGTTTGTGGTTCTGTGTCCACGCGTCTGTTTGTAAAATTGCTGCATTCTTTAGAATACAAAACTTTTGTGACTTTTATGTTTATTATCTTACGGATATGCAATGGAACGTTGTTTAAAGAATATGTTTAAGGAAATCGTTCAACCAACATACGAGTAATACAGATTTTTCGCCGAGAGATATGCAATTATTTTTTTATAAAACTGCTTGTGAAAGTTGTTGATAACATATAAACTTTCATATAGGTCTATAATTCCACGTAGGGGTGTTTTATGAAGTAAGGATGATATTAAAATTATATTATTGAATATCGTTGCCCTTTTAAGTTTTTATTAGGAGTTAGGGTTTCTTCAATTTATATCACTTATCCTTTTTTAATACATAAAATTTTTTTAATAAATAAAAGTTCAAAGCGAATTTCGCCAGATTGTTTATCTATTTTTGATCAAATATTTCACCAAATAAATAAAGCTAAAAAAAGTAATTTTTTTCTTTCAAACTTTTTGAAATAATTTTTCACTATATGGGATAAAAACAATAAAACGTCATTAAAATCAAATTCATAAAGTACAAAAAAAATAAGGCGCCAAATACAGCATGCTGTTAAAGCGAGATATTCTTGCAGATTTCTCAAGGTCATAATTAATCATTTTGTTGCTTTTGGCATTGTTACAAAACTAAAAAAATCTCTTCATTTATTCCAAAAAAAAAAATTATTATTAAATAAACATGTTGTTTTATCGCAATTTTTATGTACTCTAACACCTAGGAAGTTTAAAACAATTTCTTTTCAACATAAATATTCAGTTTACTCTTTCACAATTGAAATTCAAATAAAGCAAATGAAATGGGAAAAAAGAAATGGGGAAAAATAAAAAACAAAAATATAGTAAAGAAAGTTTTGTTTCCAAAACAATAACTATTATGTACATAAATATTATGTTGTGCAACCTTTTATGAATCAAGCAAGTTTTTATTGGTTTTTTTTTAAGTTCATCGAAGCATTAACATTGCAGTTTTAGAGCTTTTTGTGTAAATATTATGAAAAATTTATTATATGTACTCTTAATAGATGTACAGCCCTGTAATCTATAATTCCCTGGAAATAAAAAAAAAGATTCATTTAAAAAGTTTCTATTACAATAAATTACTATTAAATAGTAAAAAATAATTAAATATTAAATAACAAAAAGGGCTTTCCTTAAAATTTTCCTCCTAACTCTATAATAAAAGTAGAAAAATTCGCTTGCTATCCACTATCTCTTAAGAAACAGTTCATACTGAAAAAATTTTATAATTTTCTATTGATAATCTTTGATATTTGCTGAAACTACTTTTAAATTAATTTTACAGATAATTAAACTTTGAGAATTATATAAAAAATTACATAAGAAATTTTCCCAAATTTTGTATGAAATTTTTCTACATTAATTTTATTTCATTTTTTCAACACTAATTTATTAAGATTATGTAAACACAAACCATTAAGCTAATGTCAAAGCTAACATCAATGTTGTCAAATAATAATGGAAGCATAATTTTCACAAAAACAAAAAGTTTACTGTTGAAGGTGAACTTAAAAAAAATTTATATTTTAATGTCAAATAATTTTGTTATATATACATAAATTCCAGAAAAACTTAAAATTAATAAAAAAAAGGCGAAAATTAAAAAAGATATTTATTTAACATAAATTTAACATAAATGTCAAAATTATAAGAATTAATGGGAATTTTGGAATACAAACAAATTGATTTTCATATTTTAATTCCATAAACATGGAAGTATAAAGTTTTATTATGAGATTTTGAGTTTAATATGTCAAAATAAATTATTTTTCGTTCAAATAAACAATGTGCATATATACATATGTACATATGTATATCAATTAAGTTTTATTTTTTCTCATAATTATTCTGAAAACTTAATTAAATCTATTCAACTTAAAATATTTAAATAATTGTTATTTGTAAAAGACATCTTATTTTGTTATGCTTATTTACATAAACAATGTCAAAAACTATCAAACGCTGCCATGGATATTAACCAGGACAGTGGTGGTGCGTATATAAAATGTTTTAGGGAAGTTTACAAATAAAATTTCATTATAATAACACCAAATACTTATATAAATAAGTTTTTTGAAATACATATATAACAGATAAATTGTTGTTGGTTAAAAGTAAATTAACGTTTTTTATATTATTATTTGCTATCGAGTTGAAGACAATATAATTATTAATATTTCGTTGGAGTGAGTAATTTTAAATCAAGCAACATGTCAAATATCAACATATGTAAAACAACAGTATGTAAAATAAATGTTAAATAAGTAAAACGATTATTGTATTAGATCGATTAGTTTTGCGAATCAATAATCGATTCTTAAATTTTGTAATTTTAATTGCAACTTCAAACTTTAACTTTTAATTGATCATGAATTTTTTTTGGTATTTTTGTCATTTTTATATTTTCTTAATTAAATTCATAGAGTTTTATATGACCCAGAGCACGAATTTTATAACTATAATGTATCGCATAATATTCTTTTCGAATCTAAGCTGTTATATTTATACAAAATACAATCATTTCGTGTTCATAACGTCACGTAATACGGAATCGCATTGTATATAGCCATTAACCAATTTTTAACTTCTTTTAATGAAAAGCAGGAAATTGAATTATGTACTTTAAATTAATATTTTTTTTTTCTGTTTTTTACTTCGAATCATAATTTTACTTCGAAATATATAAATTTCGATCTATATTGCTTAAATTAAGTTTTAATACAAGTTTAAACATTTTCTAACGTTAATTTTTTTCTTCTTTTACAGATTCTTTCTAATTTCTAAAATTGAAGTCCGTTATAATCAATAAAACCAATTTATATAAAATAACTGTTCGTAATAATAGTTATAAAAATACACCGAAATAGTAAAAAATTGAAATTTATTCTATAGCATCATGACATTGTATTGGTGGAATCATTGGTTTTGGATTACAGTGGTTAGCGGTAAGTTTAAAAATGTTAAATGCTATATAATGAATAATTCGATTCACCTGATAAATTATTACCGAAAAAAGTATTTTAAATAAATTTCTTAAAAATTTTATTTATTCAGCTATCTTATAATATGTATGTATGCTTGATAGTAACATGTTATTAATATATTCCAATGTTTTACAGTGCTCGCTACGTTACCGTTTACATCCGTCGCGACATATCCTTTAAATGGTCCATCTGTAGAACAAATTGAAGATCAAAATAATAACAATAATAATGCAAAGTTACCACTCGAATTTCCATTGCCAGCACAAACAGATGTAGATGATATAATAGCAGGAAGTGAAAATATTCCAAGAACTTTATTAATAAAAGAAGAAATTATTGAAAAATTAAATAGTGGAAAAGATGATAGTTCAATATCTTCGGTAGCAGTGCCGTCTTTGTCATCAACGTCATTCCAATCATCATCATCATCATCGTCATTATCATCATCCGCCCAAGAACTTTTACCCAAAATGGAAAATCAATTAATTGATAGAAGTGTTAAAGACATTGACCATTCAGTTCAGCATAAACAACAACTTAATAATAATAATGATGAAACTATCAAAACAAATATTAATAGCAACATGAATGTTACCGATAGCAATAGTAATAGTAATAGTGATCGTAATAGTAGTAAAAGTGTGATACAATTGATTCCAAAAGCAATTAATCAAAAAAATAATCATGAGAATTTAAAGGAATTGGATTCACATACATCGGAAAGTGAAATATCATCTTCAATTCTTCATCAAAATTTAAAAAAACAACAGGAGTCATTAGATGTAGTTAGTTTCGATAATAATAGTAATCATAGTATAAGTAATAGTAATGATACCAATAATAGTAATGTTAGTAAGTTAAGGTACATATGTTTAAAATTATCGAAAATTTTAACAATTAATTTAAAAATTTATTTTATTTCTAAAATTTTAGTACAAATATATCATTAGGTGAAAAAATACATGAGCAATTAAAAATCTCAACAACTCCAAGCCCATCAACTACAGTCACAACTACTGGAGCATTTGGAAAAGCAGTATCTCATATAATGCAAGTTACAAAAGCTTCTAGTAAAATAAAATCGAAAACTAGCATAAGCAATGGTGACAATGGTAATAATAATGAAAATGTATCATCAATTCTAACTAATTTAGATGAGACGACAATAGGAAGTGATGCTATATCTATGACAACAATATTACATCCAGTTGATCTTGGAAATAATAATGAAAATAGCAAAAGTGAGGATGGTTTCGATTCTGAATTAATAAAATCAATAAATAGCAGTAATCATGATGAAATGACAGGAAAACTTCCAATTACATTAGAAAATGTCACAAAATTAAGTGATAAAAGTTTAAATAAAGATGTAGAACGTGTACGTAAATCAAAAGGTTTGTCATCAGAATATCGTGATGCTTTTATTAATAATTACTCAGCCGATTCAAAAAGTTTATTAACAAGATCAGCAGGACAAGAAGAGGATTTTAATGAAAGAAATCGTTTAGATGATAATGGTGGAAATGTTTCGTCAGAAGCATTACAGGTAAACTGTGACTTATTTTCTTAAAAATGTTGTTAATTACATTGCTGATTTAAAATTTGTCAAATATGATAGATACTGCTTACAAATATTGCGCTTTAACATAATATAATTGACATAATTATTTTAATTATTACTTAAAATTTTTTATCTACTTTTTTTAAGCGAGCTTACGTAATGGATGCTGGTACTATTTCTGGCATATGTTTATCCGTGTTGGCGATATGTTGCGGTGTTGGAACAGTTGGAATTGTTTTATATCGTCGAAGATTTTTAAATAAACCACAAGCATTAAGTGAACCTGATTCAAGTGTGTACATCGATGATAGTACAATAAGGGTATAAAAAACTTTTTTTTTAAAATTCTCAATTTTGTTAAAATAACATTACATTATTTATTTTTTAGGATAATTCTGACGAGATGTACAGCTTAGATAATGATTCGTTCCTGAACTCGTTGGAAGCAATGACGATACAAAACTATTGGACTGACACAGTAAAACACACAAAGCTTTAAAAATCGCGATAATGAAAAATGAAACTTAATAAAGAAATTAATTATATATGTCATAATTTATACGTGTAACACAAATATTTATTATAATTAGAATTTAAAATGTAAAACTGGAGTTTTTAATTGGAAAACAGAAAAGAAAATATAAACAAAATTTTAATGTTCTTTAAAAAATGTGACGCTTTTAAATTGAAAAAATGTCTACATAGAAAATTATTTTAAATTTGCAAATTGCTCTTCTGTTGCAGGATTAAATTCACTTACTGTATTAAATATGGAATGACCCTTAGCGTCACTTTTTGTTAAATTAAATGCATAAAACTACACTTAAATAATGTACTAATTATTGATTACATTTAGTTAGTAATGTGAAAGTACGAAATTATAAATTAGATTTTATTCAAATTTTCAATTTTATATGTGATAATCTAAACAAAAACAAAAATATGTAGTTAAAAAAATGCCCAAAATCATATAATCAAAAAAAATTTTTATTAAATTTCAGAATAAACTTTAATGCTTGTTTTTTTTAAAGTTAAATTTATTTCGTTAAAGGAAACTTATATAACAAAATATTGTATTAGTACTAGGAATTGTGTCAAACGTATTGTATTGAAGATCGAATTTGTGTATTAATTTAATATTATATTCTCAGTATATTTCCAATTTAAACTGAATAACTTTTTAATTTTTACAATTCGGAAACGTTTTTGTTTTGAAAAAAATATTTAATACAGATTTTTTTTTGGTAATTCCTTTATTTGAAATTTTAAATTGAAATCATATGTTATAGATATTTTGAAAAATTCAATTTTAATTTAGATCTTGATTTTTTGATCAGTCTATTTTAAATTTATACATGCCACGCATTCGAAAATTCAGCACTAGTTCTGTAGCAGAAATATTTAAAGTGTAAACGCATTACTGGTAATGCTAACAGAAAATCAAATTTAATTTGAAAAATAGAGCTTGCATTTTAATAAACTTTATGTCATATTGTAAAATTATATAACGTTTCTAATGCTTTATTAAGTTCTTTAATTTATTACAATTAACATAAAAGTGCTTTTCTATTTTTGTAACTTAAATAATTACAAACCTCTTTAGTTTTATAAAATTACATTGTAATAATTTATTGTATTACAAAAAGTAACAATAATTTATTATGTTTAATATACACATGTATTTTTTTATATGACATATACACTTAAAGTTTGTTTAACTAAAATTTTATTAAACTATTGACATTTAAATTTTCAAATTCAAATAAAAAAAGAAAAAAATAGAATTGTAAAATTTTTTTTTGTTTAATTTTTAAGAAAAATGTTATTAATGTTATTATAATTAAATTATTTTATTAAATAACACTTTATATACTAATGCAATAAATAAAAAATTATTTTTTTAACAAAATGTAAAAAATAATATTATGAAAAAGTTTTTATAGCATTACATAAGAAAATATGTAAAGTATTCAAAAAATATTCAAAGAAAATTATGATTAATTACTAATTTTACTATTTATATTAAGACACAAAGTAAAATATTTATAAAAAAATGTAATCATAATATTAAAACATGTACTCCAAATTAAATATAATGATCTAACATATTAAGATTGTAGGTATTATATCAGAAATATAGAAATCTCAAAAAAAAATTGACAAAATAACTTGTGTTTATTGAAAAAGAATATTTTGTTTCTGATTAATTTTATATAATTTACATAGTTTTATAATTTCAACGCAAAAATATTTGTTGCATTTAAAATAAATAATCTAATTTTTAAAAATTTTAGAAATAATAAAACTAATTGTAAAAAATAAAGTTAGAAAATTATTTTAATTAGCTAATTTGTTCATTTTAATTATCAAATATAAATTTGGTATGAATTTGCTTTATTATTTACTAAACAAAGTGATCAAAAATTGTATTTAAAAACTTTCATAAAACCAGAAATTTATGTATTTGTCAATAAATTGCGTCCTTTTTAGAAGTTAAATAAAAATGTTATATATAATAAAAATATAAATAATATAATTTCAGATTATACACAAAAATGTATTAATTATGCAAGGATTTTATTTATTTGTTCATATAAAATTCTATTTATATAAATTATTTTATTTAAGAAGGGAATAAAAACTATAAAAAAAATCAATTCCAACACTAATTCAAATTTAAATATTTTATATTAAAAACTTAAAAATGCTATACATATGTATATTTTAAGTTATAAATTCATATTGTTTAATAAGTATTTATCTACAGAGAATATTTAATTCTCCTTTACAAAATAATATATCTTTATAAAAATGTTTTGAAATTAAATTTTCCTCATTTAAAATAATATTAAAACTGCTTTAAACTATAATTATTGTTAAGGAAAAATTATATTATATTGTATGTACCTCGTTTTTAATAAAGTTGAATGTTCAAAATTATTTTGAATTAGTAAAATCAAAATACTGTTGAAATCGGGCTAGTTTTAAAAAATATAATAAAAAAACATCTTAAGTAATAATTATTTAAAGAAAAATCTCAATATAATACTAATAGACATATTTATATATAAATAAAATAACATATAAAGGAAAATTATATAATAAAACTAAAAATATGAAAAAAAAGTTTGTCCAATTGTTGTTATATTTGACATTTTTATTACAGAATATTATGTTCACTATTTTTATTTGATAATACAAATGATAATTTCAATTCTTTATAATAAGTTCTCATAATAATTAAATTTTGTTCATCTATAAGTAATTTAACTGCGAAACGTTACTTGCACACCAAAATAAATTCGCTATTTAATTCACACCTCTATTCAATAAATTTAACTTTTAAATATGCAAGTTATATTTAAAAAAAAAATATATACATATATCCAAGAATATTTTATAAGCATACTTAGAATTTCGTTCTTTTGATTCCTTCATATAAACTTTCAATTGATTATTAAAATTTTGTGCCATTGCTAAAAATTTTTTAATATTTGCTGCTCTTTTAAATCTTTTAATTAATTTTCTAGCTTGCCTGTATTGTTTTGTTATTCCATCATATTTTTTTTGAAGAGTCTGAGCTTTAATTACTTGTAAAATTGATAACAATGTCCAAATAATATTTCCAATTGAACGAGCCGCTTCATTAAAATAATTTTATTATTAAAAAATTATTCAGCTGAATTAGAATAAAAATTTTAATATCATACAAATCCTTCCTTTTGTAGCATACTGAACACAATCTTCTAGTTTACCATGCTCCAAATGATACTGGGATATTAAATGCAATATAAAAGTTTTTTCAATAACATTTTTACTAAATTCTAACCATTTCTCTAGTCTGCTAACTCGTCGCCTGTTAAAACATTTTTGTTTATTATTATCAGTATTGCTATAAAACTCATTGCTATTTTACTTATATGCCACGAATTCAAAATCAATTGCATCAGGTTGAACAAAAGTTGATTTATCTCCAAACATGTATCGTTTCGATTCTTTTTCTTTTACAGGTACAATGTTTAAGATTTTGTATAATCGAACTTCTAATTCATAGTTCATAATATCATCTGGTATTTTCAGTTGGTCCAAATAAGCCAAAGCAATGGTATTATAAACTTCACACATAAATTCGTATTTCCATGGCATAACCCTCTTTGTTTTGATTATAGTATAATTACTCATAAAATTTTCAACATGATTTCGAAGTTTCTAATAACAAATTAAATAAATGAAATAAGTTTTTTGCACTTTGGATGAGTAAATCATTGCCTACAACCAGTTCTTCTTTTTTGCGTAGTTCTTTGATTTTCTTTAGAAAATTAAACATATCACGCCTTGTTTGACTTTGTATTCGAAATAAATGCTCTTGCTTTGCTTTTTCAAGTAACTGCTTATCTGGACACACTTTCAATTTTAAATTATATAATGGATCACGATTTTGTAACATTTTCTAAAATTAAACTATTAAATTAAAATTTGTAAAGGCAATTTAATTGTAACTCCAATTGATAAGTACCACAAATTTTGTAACTTGTTCAAATTTGTCTTCAATTTGATGCTGTAGCTCTTTAGTACTAAAGGGTGTTTGTTTTAATAGCAAAGTTTTATTATATCTCAGTTTCGATAAGAACACTAAATCAGCCCAACTTCGTCCAATATATTTTTGATTTGCTACTTTGTAAGATAATTTTCTTCTTTCATGTTCACGTGGGTGTAGCAATTTTTCCTTTAATTACATAATGCCAATTATTCTAAAACTTAATTTATATACATAATAGTTGTTTCTTACTGATTCAATTTCAATACTTTCCACATCACATTCCCCTGCATCCAATAATTCTTTCCATCTCATTTGCTTTACTGAAGCTGCTTCTTTTCTCATAATTTCTCCAACTTTAAGAAATGTATTGTAATTCTCCAAAGCAAATGTTCCAAGTTTCGAACTTAAGCTTTGATCAAATATCGTGTCCATCTTTAATGATATAAAATAAAAATTGTTTTGAATAAAGTATAAAGAAGTTACGAATAAATATGGTCACTTTGGGTATCACTTATAATATTATTAATTATTCAATAGGCTTACCACACATATTTTTTCTTTAAATGCTTTCAATTTGCCACCCTCAAATTTTCTTGAATTATTATGTAGAGAGCTAAGACATTCCTCAAGTCGATTTTTATAAAATTCAGCTTCTGAATATTGCAAGTTAATAGGGCAATCTAATCGCTTTAAATCTAACAAATTTTGATATAAGAGCATTTTAAAGTAGTTTAGAGCATTTGAAGAAGAACTTTTAATTATTTACCTAGAGCAGTTGTTGAATCTTGTATTGCTTTATCACTTTTGGCTGTTTGTAATAATGCAAGACTTTTATTATGTAAACATCCAGTATCATTTTCATTGAACATCAATGATTTTTCATAAAATAAAATTGATTTGTCTATAATATCTCTTTTGCTATAAAATTTTCCCCATTCTCGGTATATCATTTGTATCGTTTCATCATCCCATCTAATACGATTCCATTTTTTCGAATTTCCATTGTATTCCATAATTCTGCAATTCAAATGGTAATATTTTTTCTATTCTTCAAATATTAACCTTATCTGTTTTTAAAAGTATGAATTTGGCCAACCAAAGATAAATTATTAGAATTATTAAAAAATTAAGTTACAAACTATTTTCTATTAAATTTTTAAAATAATTTTCGAAAAAAAAATGAATACAAAATTTATATTTGTATTTGGATATTTAATATTCAAATATGATGATTGAAAAATCACTAGATTTAATTAAAAATACTGTAAAAGTATTTGTTGAAAAAATATTGAATGCTCATAAGATTGGTTGCTTGTCGCAAAAGACTTATTATTGTATAGTACGTCTGATACGGTTTACGGATCAAATAAACAAGCAAATATTCAATTCTAATATTTTTAGAAGATCGCAAATTTCTGTACGCTGTGAATTTTTCGAAAATGTTATAAAGAAATATATGTATAGTTTGTTCTTTGAGTAACTGGTCGTTTCAACACTGATATTCTTCCTAATTTTTTAGTTCCAAATTCTTGAATTCTATCGAAACATAATGTCTTACTTTTATTGCGAATCCTGCATGACCATAGAATTTATATTTTAAGAACTTGAATGAATTTCATCTTAATTTAATTTTGATGTTCGCTGTTTTTGTTTTAGTAAAAATAGTGTAATTTAATTTTGACCTTATACTTTATAAAAATATATATATTTGTAAATAAAAGTGTGCAAAACATTATTAAATTCAATAATCCATAAGAATCAAACCCCTCAATTCAATAATCTTGTTTAATTCTCAGTATAATAATGATTTTTGGAGGAATATTTAGAAATACATTCTTTTCATACACAAACATACACGTACATGAAAATTTCTTTATAAACACACAATTTCCTTAACATTTCAATTTAATTTAACGTTAATAATTTGGTTAAGTAATATGAAAAAAAAAACAGTATTCTTTCGATTCTATTATTAACTACTGTTTCGTACACATTTTACTATGCACCCTTGTATAACATCATAATATATTTTTGGGTGCATTCCAAAAAAATTTTGAATTGAAAATATTTTTATTTACAACTCACATCAACCGTTATTTAACGCTTTGCCATATATGCAAAAGGAATAATGATTTTTTTTGTGTTCTAATTTTGGGGCAAAAAAGCAATGACCTCCGATAATCCGTCATAAATCGTCCCTTTAAATCCCTTTTATGTTAAAGAATAAGAAAAAAAAATATGTCATAAAAAACTGAAATTTTGATTAAATAAAAAAAACCAAATTTTTTTTTTACCCTACTCCCAAAAATTTTTAACCAGAAGCAAAATTCGTCACAATTGACTCATTCCATTTTTCTTTTCTTTTGATAACAAAAAAAAAATACATAAATATAGTAGCTTGCATTTTATAGCATTCCCGTCCGTTTAAAAAATTTTTGTTTTGTTTGGCTCAAGAAACTCAAGAACAGAAACATTATTTAGATTATTGCCATAATTTCAAACTATTTTATGTGTTCTTAATAAAAACTTATTCATTTGAATTTCTAATTTAATATCATAAATCAATCAAATTATTATTTGCAATTAGTCATACTTTTTAGAATTCCTAAAAATGCTTTTTATAAACCATTGGCAACAGATAGAAAATGCTGTTAAATAAACCGGGCTAAACATTTTTTCATTGCTCTTCCATTTATGATTAATCGCGCCAAAACCTAAATTCTATATTTCGTGCAATATTATTTTTACATGCATTCATGTTGTATTCTTTTTTTGTTCTCAAGGACTCAATTTCCTCAAATACACTTCACATATTTTCATAACATAGAGAAGCAAAAAAAAAGAACGAAATTGCTTTCATTAAAATTATTCAAATGAAACAGGATACTTACATCTAGCATAGCACATATATAAATATACATACATGCACTTGCATAAAAAATATAAGGACATTCCAATTATTCTAGTTGTAATTTGATTTTATTTTTTTTTTCTATTTTGTTTTTACTTTTTTTGATTATAATCATCGCATTTTAAAACGAAAAATTTCCAATTGGAAAAATTGTAATCCTTTGAGAATAGGCCAAAATGTTAAAATTTTTTTGTTTAAAAATGTCCTTTTGTACAATTTATATATGTTTTGCTTTAAGTATATGCGGGATAGAGAACTATACACATAAACATTCGTATATTTAAATGCAATGTTTGTACAAAATGTGGCAAAGAATTGAGTATGTGTACATATGGTTGTATATGAAATTATGTATATGTTGTGTGGATTTTCAAACCTATTTCTTTTTTTGTTGTATAAAAATTTTAACATGGTGTGTAATTTATAAAGTGTTTTTGTTTCTTGAACAAGCTATGCTCTCAAAAGATTTTAATAATAATAAAAAAGTTGATTTATATTCAAACTTATTGTGTGGTTGATTTTATATGTAATATGAGGGTTTTAAATAAAAGATAAGTATGTGCATATATATATATGTGTGTATGTATGTAATGAGTATGTTTCTTAGTGCACATCAAGTGCTTAAGAGCAAGAAATTAAAATAAGCACAATAATTACGATGCGACGATTTTCTTAATTTTTTTTATTTTGCACATTATTTTGTGGTATTGAAAATCATTCTCTCAAGTTCAAGGTTTTGATTTCAAGTGAGGAAGAATAATAAATTCAATATAGGCATCACAGTACTCTCATCACTGGCATTTTTATTATTTTGACGTGTTGTTTTCCAAAATTTGAATTTAGTATTTTTTATAGTTCTTAATCAAAAATTCTTGTAGCAATAAATTAAATAAAACTGAAAAGGATATTTTATGAGTAAGAAACTCACTCAATTTTTCAATAATGAATTTACGATATTTTTTACTTTAAAATTAATAGAATACAAAATAAAAGTATATTGAGTGGATTTCAAATCATGTTGAGTGAATGACTGAACTGAAAACATTTGCTGAGAATATTTTGTATTTACTTTTAAATTACATTCTCTCTCATTTGTCAAATAAAAAGTTTATGAACTATTTTAAATACTTACTATTTCTTTAATTTGTTCATTTTTTGGTTGCTATGCGTCCCAGGTGCAATAAAAGACAATACAAATCAGTCAATTCAAAACAAATCAATAAAATTCAAATTTTGCTTAATTGTTTTCATTATTGCGAATGAGAGCAAAATAACAAATATTACACTCATTCGTAATTCGTTCGTTATGTGATTCGAAAAATAAAATTGAGTACAAAAAATAACGTAATGGTTTTTGTCTTTGAAAAAATGAGATATTTAGAATAAGTGAGATAAATTTGAAATTCAGTTATTTTTTTAATAGTATGTACTGATAACATATTACTCACAATATGATATTAAAAACTGAGTCATAATTTTTGAAAAATGAAAACAACTTTTTCATTTTTCACTACTCTTCTCTCCCCTTTTAATAAAAACAGCATTTGTTGTTGTGGTTTACGAATGGCGTATATTTCTTTTTTACATTTTCATATTTTTTTAGACTCTTTTCAGTAATGTAACGGCTGTCTTTGAATTAAGACATATTTTTGGTTTTCGTTTCGAATTTTCAGTGTATTTTCAGTGGAAACATTTATGTATTTTTGTTTGTGATTTGTCTTTAAAAAATTCAATTTTTTTTACATTTTTCGTGTCGGCATTTGATTAGAATATTAAAAAAGTAAAATTAAAATATAAAAAAAAATAAAATTTGCGTATTCTCGAAGGTAAACAAGTTTTTTTCAGGGTTTTTTTATTAAAAAAAAAAAAACGTAAAAAATCAACTTACCTGTGCCGGTTTGTTTAGTGTTTTTCGTTTTTTATATTGTGGAATTATTTTTTTTAAATTTGATCTTAACAATTTCTGCATAGATTAATTAGAGCTTCATCAAATCGAAAAATATCAATTCTGAAAAATAATTTATTAATAAAATTTTATATTTTATGAATATTAATTATTTACTTAAATTAATTATAAATAAATGAAAACAAAAAATCTAAAAATGAAAAAATGAGAATATTATTTTACAAAAAAAAAAAACAAAACTATTAATACAAACATGGGAAATGAGAGTATGTGTGAAAGATGATCTCATCAGTTGACAGCTCATACTAAAATTCAGTATGACGTCATTGGTTAATAAGATCGGTTCTTTGTGTTTTTTTTTATTCGTTCGCTTTTATGTTTGTTTTTATTTAAATTTTAGAGTGAATTATTAAAAATTTAATTGAAGCACCAATTTATATTTTAAAGGACCTTGTAATCAAGCTTATAATTGCGTTATTTAAAATTTTGTGTTTAATTTTTTGTATAAAATGAAGAAAAAAATTAAAGCATAATTTTTGAAATTTCATAATTTTAGTCTTAAAAATTTAAAGTGACCGAATTCAGCTTAAGTGATTAGTGGTTATATTACATACATTTAGTTCGTCATACATACCTATGTGTGTATATAGTTTTGAATAATATCATAATACCTATCTTAGCGTTCTAATAGTAAAGCATAGCAAAACGGCATAAGATGTAGTTCAAAGAACAACATGTTGCAAAATATTGAATTTAAAAATAAATTGCTAGTTTTCATGAAATATATTAAAATTTCAGTCCGAATTCTAAAGTGCATGTGCATACTGTTATTTTTACAAAAGCCAGATAGAGTATTCGTTTGACAACAGCAAAATACAAAACTTTGGAAATTTTGTGTTTATTAATTGATTTATTTATAAATAGTGTCTGAGTCATAACAGTAATTAATTGCCTTGTACTATATTTAAACTTAGTGTACATTCTTACAGTTAATATTAATTTTGCATTTTAATTATAGTTATGCATTCCGATAGCTTTTAAATTACATACACTTGTGTAAACTTATTTTTGAGCTAAAAGTATTTTTCATTGTAAAATCTATACCTACATGGTTATTAAAATGTTTTTGATACAAAAAAATTATAAAAACAATATTATTTACATGAGGGTTAAAAATTTCTTTCTTACATATGTATGTAAATAGCTATATGGAAATGTTATGTAAATATTTAGAATGAAATACTTGTGTGTGTACTTATGCACAATGCAATTTATTGTAATTTGATAAAATATGCCCACATTTTTTGTAATTTCATTTAATTTATTTCTACGCAAATGAATTAAGAATATGTCCATACATAGTATACTTATTATAGTAAACAGAATAATTATTATAGATTTGTACAACAGTACGGTCAAAGATCATTGTGCTACTTACCTTTTCTACATACTTATTTGTTTATTATTAAGGCCAGAGCATATTATGTGTACAAATGTAGATTATTGAATAAAAGTAGGTGAATTACTAATTTTTTTCTAATTAAGTAAATTTTAACATATTTTTTTACATTTTTTTTTGAACAAGTTGTCTATACATTTATTCGAAATACGCGTGTTAATTACTTATTGCAATTACATTCTTTTCTTATAAAATTTATTAAAAAGTATTGTTTAAATTAAAATTTAATGCGCATGACAATCAGCTTCTTATAAGTTTTACGAAGTATCAATTTTATACACTGGTGATTATTATTTAGATTAGATCATTAAAAGCCATCCAGTTTACTTTATATAATAATTACCATTATTAACTACATAAGGACTTATTTCAAATTATAACACTAGCAGGCGGTTATACTTGAATTAATCAGTGACTGTAATTCAACTACTCACTGAAATCAGTACAGTTTTCTGGGTTACATTTTAGTCTGTTTTTGCTGCAAATCATGAAATTGTTATTCCAGAATTAATTATAGCATTTTTTTTACTTTTCATCTTAGATTAAGTCCAATTTAAAGTTAAAATTTTATGTTGCAAATGTTCAAATAAATGAAATTCTATTTAGAGTATTCAAACTCATAACTTTTCGAAATTTTTGTTGAATAGCAAAGTACTAATATGATAATGAAATTAAAGTTGTAAAAAAGTGTAATTTTCTTGATATTGTTTAAATAAATTAAAAAATTTTTTATATAGCCATTTAAGAATAAATCACATATAACATTAAATTAAAATTCTGCGGGGTAAAAATAAAAATTGCTGAAGGTCATAATTTAACTATTTTATTACTTTTATCATTTTTAAGATAAAAATCTTATGTTATTTTTACCATTTTGTTAATTTTTCTAGGTATACTTTGTAATATAATTTTGTGAAATCACGATAAAAATCGACAAAAAAACGTGTATTTAAAAAAAATATAAAATAAATAAAAATTGACTTGCAATTTAATATTAAAAATTAAAAACCTTTGTTTATCGTCATCGTAGATATTTTTTTCTTTTGAAAACGCGATTTCATAAACAAAGAAAAATTATTAAAATACCTGTATACACAGATATATACATACAAAGTTTGAAAAATTCAAAGAGTTGGAAAAATTATAGCTGAACAATAAAAGAGACAAGATAATAAAAATAAGAAATTATTAAAAATATTTCAGGTGAGTTGATTTGTCATGAATAAATGATTTTTTTTTTATTTTTATTTTCCTATATTTAATGATAATGGAATTTACACTCTACACGTATATGAGTACATTTTTTGTACCTACATTAGGTGTACCTACTCTAAAACTATATTTGGTAGCGCACTCACTGTATTAAATAATGATCTTTTAGTAAAAGTTTTTTTAAGGTCATTACAACATTATTGTACTTTTAGTATTTACATCATATGCCTAGATTACATGTAATTGCATATGAATTAATAATAATTACTTTTATTTTTACTGCATGTTACACAGTAGGTTAATAAATAATAGTAAAGAAAATTATTTGGTTATATTTTTCAAAATAAAAAAAAATGAAAATTAGTGTGGCTCAATAATAAAATTTAATAAAATTTTGAATAATTATTTCAAGATTTCTATTTACATATTAAAATGCGAAGTTTATTATGAATGTTTGTAAATATAATTCAGTCTGGACTTTAGAGTGTTGTATCCAATAGACTGCGCAGACGCGTTTTACTCAAATGAATATGAAGTTGATTGCGCTACATGTCTATATGTCTATTAGTAACACAGTCATTTGTTAAAACTTGTGGTTTTATTATAATGACCACGTTCGCTTTTAGAACATATTATCATGTAACACTCTTATCTGTACACTTAACAACATATGAGTAAAATAATACCAAGTAGATGAGAAATATTATTCACATTTATTTCGATAGATGGATTTTATTAATATTTTAAATTGAAAATAAAATGAAAAATACTTCAAAATAATAATTACCTTCTAAGTATTAAACATAAATGAACACGATATAGAAAATGCGATAACCATAATCTCCATATCGCGCCATCGCGAAATTGATCCTTAACGCATTTATCGTTAAGAAAGTATGATTAGCATTTGTGTAAAACGTCAAAAATAATTATATTTTTTAGTTTCAATAGCGCATGCCAAAAGCGGATGTTTATTGGAACTTCGGAGCCGATAAAGTAAGAATAACGGGTTCCATTTATAAAAGCTACAAAGAATCTATTTTGATTACCTATGCACTGAATTCTTGCTAATCTATATTTTGTTAAAAAACTATGTAATAAAATATAAAATTCAGACCACCCTACTGGAATAATTTAAGCATTACATATTAATTTTCTAATGAAAAATCATAGTAGAGTATGGGTTTCATGTTTCTAAGTGTGTTTTCATTTTTTTATTATAGTTTTTCTAACGAACCATGTTGTTGTTTTTTAATTTTTTTTTACCTTCACCGTCATGTTGTTTTTTTTTTTTATTCATTTTATTTTGGAGGTCTCCCTGTGTCTGAAATATCATTAATTTTAGTATACAAGCCAACAAACGCTAAAGTTTGAATTTGTGTTCATTTTTCTACGAGTATATTGTAGAAAATTAAAAATTAAAATGCGGGAACTTTTTTGTTTTATTTTTACTGTGTCTATCTTTAATTATGACGTTTTATGTGCTTTTCATTGGTAAAAAAAATTTATTTGAGTTGAAATTTTTACAAGCATTGCTGTTGCAAAGCGAAAACAAAAAAAAATTTCACAAAAATTTTGTGCAAATTTCTTTTGCATAAATGCAAAATGGCAATTTTTTTTTTTTGTGAAAAAAGTAAACAATATAGAAGTAAAACGGATGACCTAATGAGCTTAAATGGATTTTATGTTGTGCCATTATCTATTTAACAAGAAAAATATATTTAACAGGTTGTTGTTTGTGTACTTTGTTAAAGATAGCATTTGGCTATTTATGAATAAGTGGCATGATAGTGAATGTAAGGTGTGAGTTTTATTAATGTGTTCGTGTCTTAAGTTCTTTATTGTTTTTATCGTTTGCAATTTGTAAAATTTTCATTTTTTATTTTATAGCAGTGTGAATTGTTTTGAGCAAGTTCTCATATGTATGTATGCATATGTAAATTAATGTGGTTTTTATTGTTATAAAAATAAAAAAAGTTTGCCGAAAATTTCAAAATAAATTGGAATATGTTTTTATAGACATAGCCAGTTATAATTGAATTATTCAAGGTTAAAATATTATGAGAAAAAAATTCTGAAAATTAGCTTTTCTTTGAATATACTTAAATGGAGGAGCTTCATCATAAAAAATCTTAAAAATACAGTTTAATTACTTACTCTTTATAAAGCTGTTGTACTCAGCTTACTGTTTTTCTTAAAATATCTTTGCTTTTGCTTTGTAATTTGCTTTTGGTTTTTAAAAATTACCATATGAGATCACTAAACTTGACACAGAGCATTGAGCAAGAACATTTTATGGCTCTGTTCTTTATGTTTTATGTTTTTCGTTGATTTCTCAGTTTTTCTGGTCGAGTTTTGCATTCGCTAACTAGGAAGTACAGAAATCATCATTCAATCCATTCCTACATAATTAATCAATTTTTAAAATTCCTATACTTAATTAAAATTTAAGAATTAAATGATTTAAATTTCATTATATGCCACCTAATGATTAAAATGTATATAGTTAATACTGCAGCAATATTACTAGAAAAAACCCTGCATACTACTGTTTAACAACAGATAGTGATTAATTGTATTCTCATACCATTTACTTATGTTATAACACAATTACATATTATTAAATAAGTAAGATGACATAACCAAAAAACTTTGTCTATGGAATAAAAGTTAACGTTAAAAAAAAGCTAATAATAATTATAGCGAAAAATCCAATTAACCGGTTACTAGAGAGAAAAAAAAGTTGACAAGCTGAAATGCTTTGATATTTTAATTTGTTTTATGCTTGATTTCATTATGATTGTTGAATTGTTTTTGCTTTATACTCTTCAGTTTATCATACTGAAATAATATTGTTGCCCAGTCAACTATAACACTATTTTGTTGTTTGTTAGTAAAGCAACACTAAAAGAATGTAATAAAAATTTATCTACTTTTTAAATACCTAAGTGCATGCACATACATACACATATAAAAATCTACATCACCCTACGCATATGCCATTTTTCAGCCAGACAACCTATTGTCTATTGTCTCATCGGAAATGATGAATGTCTTAACATACATTTTTGTCTTTTATGTTTATAGGAAATGCACCCTACGTGATTCTATATATGTAGGGCTTGCGATTTTTCTTCTTTTCCAATTTCTTACGTAATTTAACTAGAAAAGTTAAAATATTTTCCTTTTACAATTATGTAGAATGTTTTTTTTTAACGTAAAATAAGTAAAAGATTCCTATTCATTCACTTTTAAGATCATGAGACCGTAAAATACTTATTAAAATTACTTAATGACTACTGTTTTACTGGTGATTAAAATATGAGAATGAAACGAAATGTTAAAATAGGTTGAATTAATTACGCAAGAGTTGATAAATAACAATGGATCTTCAATATAAAAATTCAGAAATAATTTCTTGTGAGTATAACGAAATGGAAGCACTTTAGTTAGCGTAAGAAATTGATTTTTGAATTTTTTGAATTTTCAATTGGATTAAGTTTTCATGAGTGCAAGTAATTTAAAAAGTGGCTCGGAAAAATGTTAACTATAATTTTGAATAATAATGTGCTTAACTTTAAGCACTGATTTTTAATCTTTTTTGCAATAGAATTTGAAAACAAAACGGCGGTCCATTTACACTCTACTCCGAGAAAATATTATACATGTCTTTGAAAGGAACACAACCTACATGGGAGATATACGTCATTTGTGTGGGTATAGAAGTACATTTACATCTTAAAATTCCATACCTTAAACAAAATTATTAAAAAAATTCATATTTCAAATTGAGGGTATACGAGTACTTAAGTACTAAAAAAAACTGTTGAATCACGTAACGTCATCGTTGTCGTTATTCTTCGGCTAATATTCTATTTACTTAATTCTGAAGTTAATGAAGAATTATTGAAACTTTTAAGGTTTCTTCTTTTTTAGTTTTGTCATTCATATATTTTTCTTACGTATTTTATTTTACGGAATATAAAGTACAATTTATTGAAAAATCGATACAATATTGAACTCAAAAATTGTGGGTACATTGACCCAATATAAAAAATTTTACCTTTTTTTTTTAGTTGCTTGGTAAAATTCAATTTTGCATATAAATTATTTTGAAATTTATTTGATTGGAAATAAAAATGTAAGTATTGCCGATGGAGATTTTAGAACATTATATTAAAACATTATAAATTGAAATTGTTATGCTTAATAGGTCAAGTGTGCATATAGGATCTGCATTTGGAAGGATGCTCATACTTTCTTGAATTTTAATGATTTTTAAAATATAACTTTGGCATTTCGAAATCATCATTTGAATCATATGCTTCCAGCAATCAATAGAAATGACACAAGATGGCGTTAAATTATGAGATTTGTGAATGTACTTTGAATAGTTCAATTGCTTCCTAACTTATTAATACAACAATAACATAATTATCAAAATACCCCTTTGTAATTGGATCATTGTCATAAATCTTAAATATTACACAATAATTCTATTTTAAAATGATGATACCCCAGTTTATAAATATGATAAGGCTGTAACAAAAAAAATATTATTTTCCATTAATTAAACGTAAAAAAAGAAAAACATTTGATTAACATTTATTTCAATTCAAAATAATTTAATAAAAAAAAATTCTATTCTATAACCATGGATTGTAATTAAGTACAAACAATTTGAATGAAGTGTGAACTAAAAATAAATCAAATGAAATTGAAATTCAAGAACGAATTTGATTTCATTCTCTATAATTGAATAATTTGATTAAAAATTTTTATTAAAAATTTTTTTCTAAGTGTAATAAATATGTTTACATATTGTTTAGCTCATTTAAATTGATTTTTCGTTTAGATGCGAGTGACGGACTTGATTAAATGAAACCGAGCGAGTATAATCGTTCGGTGCTCAGTAATTGGATCTATAATGTTACAGTGATTAAACTTCAGTATTGCAGTATAGTAGTTAAGAATGTAAATTAGAGTCCTTG